GTCTCATTTACAGGAAGCAACTGGCATTAAGGCTGCAAACCACCCAAGTGATCTATACGCATATGGATCATTTATTGTCACGAGTATTGTGCCTTGCTCAGAGAAGTACCTTCTGACATCATTATTCCCCAGCAAAAGTGATGTAGGGAGCTTCTCCTGCTGCAGATTTGGCTTCAGATAGTGCAAAGGAAAGGGGTCTTTCTGGGTAACTCTCTCAGTTAAGGCAGCTTCACTGTTCCAATGTTGCCTTCAAAGGGTGGAAGACAAAGGAAGAACAAAGCAGCCTCAGCTGGGAGTTTAAGAAACATCTAAGGCCCCCATCTACACTGACCAATTAATACAGTTCCAAATCCGTATCGAAGAAAGTACTTTTGCTGTGTAGATGATTTCATAGGATATCCTGGAACCAGTTAGAAGCCTAGATGTTGATGACACAAACCACAGAGCACAAGTGCGCATTAAGGACTTTATTTTGTGGCACTTGTTTCTCTGGCAGCTGCAGTTTGAAGCTAGCTTTGAATTGCATTAAATTATCAGGGTAAATGGAGCCTGAGTTCTAACCCCAAAGTTTTGCCAGCATTTTAAAGAACCCAGTAAATAAAGATCCAGGTTAGCTTGGGGTGTAGCCGCAAGGCATTCATGACTTCTCTTTACTGAGGCATATAGGGCTTCAGGGAGTGAGAGAAGATTCTTCCTAAGGGCTGAATGGATCCGCCAAATGTGGTCAATGGGCCAGAAATTCCCCACAACTGCTCTAAAAATGAAATTAATGTTGTTTAAATAGTAGTCTCAAGTAAACATCGGAAGAGTATTACGAATGGATAGAGTCCAGCTTGTTGGATTATGTGTATTTCTTTAACTTTGGTCCATTAATAGATATTCTGCAGTGACAGGAATGTTAAATGTGGAAGTCTTGAAGCATTTTTTCTGCTTTGAACAGAATTGACTATCACTAAAGTTGTTTTTGCTGGGAGTTAAGTAGTGCAGTATTAATTATTTCAAAAATAGTCCACGGGATTAAAAATACTACAGACCTTGTCAAGAAACCACACATGCATAGGTGTAACTAATGATTTATTTCAGGATCAGGTGTTTCAAAGAAAGCAAATAGATATAGGAATCTTTGCTTCAGTACATGATTAGATTATGATTTTTAGGAATGAAATTTAAATAGGAAAATGAACTAGCTATTTTCTTCCAGGCGTTTTTGCTGTTGCTAATGCTCCTGATAGCAAGATAGTGGTTTGGGATCACTGCCATTTAGCTGAATAACATGGTGCATTTTTACAGCGATGCAACAGTTGTATTCTTTATAACCACCAAAGGAAAGATCTGCAGGTGAATTACAATTCTAGCCACTTTGAGTTCTGGTATTGGGATTGGGCCCTTCCACGCAGCTCTATATCCCAGAATATCAAGGCAGAAAATCCCACAATATCTGCTTTGAACTGGGTTATCAGTGTCCACACTCAGATAATGTGGAATTTTCTGCCTTGATATTCTGGGATATAGGGCTGTGTGGATGGGGGCCCTAACAACAAATAAATGAAATAGATTAATTATCACAGCCCCAACTAAGTAGCCATTGCTGTGGAAATAAGGTTCTCTGCCAACATGATGCAATATAGCAAGGTAAGCCTTGCTAAGAATAGTGATCTTCCCTAGGCTTTAAGTTTTCATTTAAGTGTTAAAGGGGAAAGGCTTCCTTTCCTATGTATCTCAAGATTTATTTATTTTGTCTTTCAGTGGATGCTTTCAGAAGGCACTGGAAGAAGAAAGGAATGGAGTAGAGGAGCTGAAAACTGCACAGTGATGACTCTCTAAGCTAGGCTTACCGGTGCAATTATGGAACTACTAATCCAAACATTATTTTCCATGATATTTCCCCCCAAAATCATTCTTTTAAAATGTTTTATCTCAATTAAAGCATATGTTTTTAAAAAGTAAAAAAGCAGAACAAACCATTTCAATTTCAACAAAATGGTCCACAAAAACAAGCTCCTCCCCCACCAGCAGTTATAGTTCCATTACAGCAGTGGTTCTTAACCTGTGGGCCACGGACTACTAGTGCGCAACAAGGATGAAAATCTGGTCCACAAGCTTCCTTCCTCTTTATTTATTTTATTTCCATTCCTTTTGCACCGCCTGCCACTCCTGTCGCTGACCATGGCATATGTTCTGTATCAGAAACTAGAGCTGATGTGGTCTATCAAATGCCATTTTCTGAGTCAGCACCCCAAACTGAATCTAAAGTTGACCAATAATTGATTTGTAATAGTCACTGGTTGACATTCATTAACAAAGTTGTCTAATAGTTCTCCTCTTAAAAGTACAGTTATTTTACTCACTATTAGCAAATCTGTGATGTATTTTCCCCATTCTTCTGAGGGAGGTATATATGTGGTTTTCCAATATCTAGCATATACTATTAGAGCTGCCACTGTCATGTAAAACAATATTTTTTCCAAATTTCCTTTCTAGTTCTTCATCTTGCATATTCAAAAGATACATCTGTGGTGTCATTTTGAAGTTTGTGTTTATCATCTTTTTGAGATACACACGAATCTGTTTCCAGTCGTTTTCTGCTTTGTTGCATGTTATAAGGATATCGCACTGCTGTACCACCAATTATAAGGAACCTGGGGAAACTATATCAGCCGATTGCCGTTAATTATAAGGAACTTAGCAGAGAAAGGGACAGGGGATTTTAAAATAGTGAATCCCACAAGCTGCCAACGAAATTATATTATTGTGCAGGGGGATTTTTAAAACGGGAAAGAGGCAACTGGGAGATCTTGAAACTGTTTCTTCAATTGTTTTCGCTGCCACCCTTTTGTTTGGTATTCAGGCTGAGTTGAATGTGAAGAGTATACTTAGTAACACCCTTTTGTGTTACAATAGTGTTTGTTTTATTTAGAGGGTTTAAATCACAATGATGTTCCCACTGAGGCTGTTGTAAAGTGTTAAAAATAATAAAACGTGTATTTAACAGGCTTAAACTTCTTCTGGTACAAATGCGTAGTGGTTTCAGTAAGTTACTGGTACATAAGCTTCTGGTTACGTTCGATGAACAATTCTTAGATGGGCTCTGGGTTCAAATCTTGATGTTAACAAAACCGGATATTACCTCAGGAAATTAATCGCTGATAATAATTCCAAACAAAATCCCCCCTTTCTGGAACCTAGCCAATAGCCTTTGGCCTAGCCTTTCTCAGGGACAAAGAAACAGACCACAAACAAGGTCCTGTTCCACTATCTGTATTCTTAGCTAATTTCTCTAGCTCTTGAATACCTCAAAAGATTAACCCAGCTCTCCTATCTAACATCAACCAATTGTTATCACCCACTGACAAACTCCCAATGGACAATTCCAACTGCCAACTCAAGCCCCAGTTCAAAAGGTACATTTTTTCTTTTGTGAATGCTAGGCTCCGCCCCCTATTTTCTAACTAATCCTGGCTGTCTAATCTCTACTTCCTGGATTAGGACAAGCTCCTCTAGAAAACTCTTAAGTAAGATGGCGTCTCCTTGTTTCCCTATCCTAAGATGGCCACAGGGCTTCGCCAGGCCCACATTCTAGCTGCTTAAGGTAAGGAGTTCTTTACACATGCCTACCACATGTGGTAAAATGTGCCCTTTTCTTTCCCACGTTTCCAGCATTTGTCAGTGCAGTTGTACATCTCTATTCTCTTTAACCAGCAGTGAAGCCAGGGAATACCATTTTTCTTAACTAATCCTCTTGATGATAGAAAAGTAAAGTAGACTCCAGTGTATGTAGGGGTTCAGCCTGCGATTGTTTCTTTGCCTTAGGGTTCTGAGGAGAATGATCATGATCATGAGTCTCTAGAGGTTCCAATGTCTGAGTTAAATGATCAGGTTTCTGCTGACTCTTGGGGATTTGGGAATTGAGATGATGGCCAAGAGAGTACAGTTAGCCAAAGTGAACATGTTAGCCAGAGTGATCCTGAGGATTCTGGGATAGTTGGTTCACAAGGCAAAGATGCTTCAGTGTAGGTAGAAAAAGAGGCTGATGAAAAGGTTAAACGGCCAAGGCCACATAGTGATAGTGAAAGGAATGTTTGATAGGAGAAGTCAAATCAATCAACATCGCCACCTGGAAGGGGGTAGAAGATGGTCAGAAAGATTAAGAGAAAAAAGGGGTCAGGGAGAGGTTTCCCAAGGGAAACGGAATGCTTTTTCTGTGGCTTTCTGAATAAATATAGGGCCTCTGAATCTATACTTTTCAGTGAGTCCAACATTTGGTTTTCATGTGTAACTACCATGCCTTTTGCTTCATGCCTGATATCCATTTCTTCCTGTTCATGCTGAGATTCATGTGTACTCCTGCCTGGAATTCATGTTCATGCTGAGGTTCTTGTATGTGATTTGTTCTGGTTTCAAGATCCTACATTTGGATTTATTGGCTCAAGTTTGCTGCTGTTTTTTCATGGGACTTTGGTTTTTTGCAACCTTTTGGAACTGAAAGTCTCTAACTCCTATGGACTTTTTTACTGGACTTTGGAACCTTCCTGCTTCCGGATTTAGATTTTGACTGATTGATTTTACCTGACTCAACTGACCGCTTTGTGGACATTTCTTTATTACTTGTTTGAATACTTATTACCTTTTTGGCTATTGCTATATTAATCTTCAATAAACTGTTTTGCTTATAAAGAATATTGGTGTGTTTTTGGATTCAAAGGTGCCAATCCCAGCCTTGTGCAACAGTGTAGCTGAGGGCCACATGCAGCATTGGGAATACAGCTTTTGTCCCCTGGGTCTAAGACTTTTCTACTCTTCAATACACCTACCAAGAATATAAATCCATAGCATTCTGTAAAGCAAGGGCAAAGTCCAGGTGGAAATGGGCAGGGTATCCCATTTTATAGCCAAAGGTTGTAAAAGTTATACAGTTCTCAGAACCTCCCAACTATTTTTCTAATGTTAATACTTTGTGTATACCTCACATTTTTTCCAAAGCTGGAGTTCAATATGGCTATTTAGGACTTGAGTTCTTTCTCTAATATTATGATGTCTATGATATTGATCAGAAGATTGAAGAATTCATATTCCTGCCAAGAATCTGCAAAGAGTTCATCTCCATCTAGGAACTTTAGAAGTCTCTGGATATCCAAGAAACGTTGACATTCATCCAGGATGGGATACAATTCATTATTTTTTGTGAATTCCCTTGCAGCGGAAATGATGGTAGAGACACTGGTGGTTTTCCTCATAGTCAATCTACTTTCTCTTTCCTGCAGTGCAGAAAGTTTAAATGATGAGAGAACCAGGATGTACGTCATTAGGACAATCTTTGTTAATGCTCCCCTAGTAGGTTTTGCCTTGGCTTCTCTAAGAGATTCACACACTTCCTCCATATTGTTGTGAAACTCCTTTAGTTTGTGTGCTATTGCCTCTGATCTTTGATGTAGTTCCTTCAGAAGTATCTCTGTTTCCCACCTAAAAAAACCCAGAAAATGAATTTCAATTAACTCTGGTCATCCCTAGATCTTCCTGCAATAACAAAATGGTCTGGTTATTAGTTGACGGAAGAATGTTATTTTTTCAAGAAAAGGAACTTAGGCAAATGACTGGCAGAGACATTTTGCTGAAGCATAGTGAGGTCTGGAAAAGGAGTTGTGTGTGTTATTTTACTCTTAGTGACATAGGATTATATTTTATTTTGTGTCAATAATATAATAGGTCTCTGAAAACTCTAAAAAAAAATTGTGTAGCATAGAGGTTGTCATAGAATCATAGAGTTGGAGGAGACCTGGTTGGCTATCCAGCCCAACCCCATTCTGCCAAGAAGCAGGAAAACTGCATTCAAAGCACCCCTGATAGGACTTTAGGGCAGAGAGTTCCACTGCTGAACACTTCTCACAGTCAGGAAGTTCTTCCTAATGTTCAGGTGGAATCTCCTTTCTTGTAGTTTGAAGCCATTGTTCTGTGTCCTAGTCTCCAGGGCAGCAGAAAACAAGCTTGCTCCCTCCTCCCAATGACTTCCTCTCACATATTTATACATGGCCCTCAGTCTTCTCTTCTGCAGGCTAAACATGCCCAGCTCTTTAAGCTTTTTAATTCAGTGGTCCATTCTTCCTTGACTATTCCTTCCCCTGTTCTGAGACATAAATATGTCAGTGGTGGACATCTCCTGAAACTTTGGCACTTTCCCCTGTCAAAGGGCTGCTCCTTGCTTTCTGTAGTACTAAGGATGCAGTGGGGTCAAAGAAAGGCGAGAAAGCCATTCATCAGAATCTGGTGGGCTGGATGTGGTATAGGGAAGAATTGCAGTCAGTGCTGGAAGAGCCAAAGGAACAGATAATGAGTTTAGTTTACTTGGTGGAGGATGGAGGAAGAGGCTTACATCCCATGGGCCTTAAAAGCCAGACATCACCAAAAAGGCACCACTCGATTCAAAATGTACTCACGTTTCATCCGAGGTGCAAGTGTGGAAGTAGTCAGGCACAGAAGACTCACACACAGAGTGCCGTTTGGTTTCCCCACAGCAGGAGTACTTGCCATCCACATAACTTCCTCTGTGGTTGAGGGTGAGCTCAAACTCATGTGCAATGCTGTTAGCATTTAGGAAGGCATTCCCAAGAGCCTTTTCCCAGTAGTCTTCTTCAGGAGTAAGAGGATTTAATGAGCTGCCTTTTACCAGGATACCTTTGCATGCAACATAAAGGGTGCTCTCTTTGTAAGTGAGGTCGGTGGTACCCAGAAAATGAGACAATTCATGGATGAGTGTACCTGGCTGGGAGTCTTTCTCAAGATATTCTGGAGCTTTCCAGAACATATCACATAGATAAATGATCTTATTCTCATTTGTCTGTTCTATGTATGCATAAGTGAAAGGCTTTCTAATGTTCTTCTTAAATGTTACTTTCTTGAGTTCTGCAATAAGCTTTTGGACGGTGTCTTCTGTTAGAATGGCATGACGCTGCATCCAAAAGGACTCTTTCTCCTCTCCTTTAAGGAAGACTCTCTGAGGTACTTTCATCAGTACTTTGTCCTTCTTCTTCAGGGCATCTAGCATAATATCTAGTGTCTGCTGCTTTGCTGCTTCCAATATTTTTGCCTCCTCCTTGGTAAGGTCTTGAATTGTACTGATCTTTTTATTCGGAGGCTTTGTCGACTCCAGTAGTGTAAAGACTGAGCCCATAATTGTGCGAATGTAAATATGCACCAATCTGTACGAATCTTCTACTTCGGTTTTCTGCTACAAATGTTAACAATTCGAGTAAGCATAGCCAATGGTGAGGTATCATGGGAGCTGCAGTCCAATAGATTGTGGAGAATACCTAATTAAAATAGTAAATGGAACATTTACACAAATACACAAATGGAAAACAAGTTCATTCTGAGCTTATAGACTGCAATACAAGATGGTAGCCATTTTGAGGCACAAACTCTTTTGTTTAGCTATTTGTTCAAGCTAGTGGCAAACATGCATTAACATATCTCAAGCATGCCAGATTGAAAATTCAGTGACCATTCCTAAGGAAGTAAAGACTAGAGTTTAGTTCAGCATTTCTCAACCTGGGGGTCGGGACCCCTGGGGAGAATCACGAGGGGTTTCAGAGGAGTTGCCAAAGACCATCAGAAAAATATATTTCTGATGGACTTAGGAACCCCTTTAGCAGAGAAGGCTGAAGATCTCTCTGCCTGTCATTCCCTTATTTTTTGGAAACCGGCAGCGAATCATCTCACTAAAAGCCCTCCTCCTGCTGTGATTGGTTGGCCTCTCAGCCAAGGGAAGGGCTGTTTCTGAGACTTCAAGTGAGGAGGGGAGAGCAGGTATGCTTGGCGCATGGAAGTGTGGTGAACATGTGCGGGTGAGTGAGAGTGTGTGAGGTTGGAGGGAGGCTTGTGCCAGTGAGTCCCTTCAAGGCATGGGGGTTCTGTGTGGGAAGTTTGGCCCAATTCTATCCTTGGTGGGGTTCAGAATGCTCTTTCGTTATAGGTGAACTATAAATCGCAGCAACTACAACTCCTAAATGTCAAGGTCTATTTTTCCCAAACTCTACCATTTGGGCATATTGAGTATTTGTGTCAGGTTTGGTCCAGATCCATCTTTGGTAGTCCATAGTACTCTCTGGAACTACAACTCCAAAACTCAAGGTCAATGCCCACCAAAGCCTTCTTGTATTTTGTATTGAGTTCTGTGTGCCAAGTTTGGCTCAATTCCAATTTGGTTCAAATGACAAAATCAATCCCCCCCCCCCACCCCCACCAGTATTCGGGTATTTGTGCCAAGTTGGGTCCAGTGAATGAAAATACATCCTGCATATTAGATAGTTACATTATGATTCATAACAGAAGCAACATTACAGTTGTGAAGTAGCAACCAAAATAATTTTATAGTTGGGGATCACCACAACATGAGGAACTGTATTAAGGTGTCATGGCATTAGGGAGGTAGAGAAACACTGGTCTAGTTGGACCTTATTACCTGTGTAATGGCCTATTAGGGGAGTGGTTGCATATTTTCCAAAATTATGCAAAAGCTGTGGCACTTCATAGAGAAAGTTGGTGGCTCCAAACTACCTACCGTATATCTTTCATGTCAAGCTTTGATGGGAGAGAGCCATGTGCTTTGGGAAAGACAGCTTGGATAATTGCCTTAGAATCGAACGCTCAGATGATACCATTCCTAAAGACTACAATCCCAGCAAAATTCCACTGTGGTTGCTGTTTCCAGGTTTTTAAAATAATTTGATGTTCTGGCAAAAGTCATTTTTTCCAAGAAAAGCCCATTGACTGTGGTGACCAACAAACTCAATGAAAATGCCTTCCTAGCTTTTGCATTCTTCCTTAAGGCACTTTAGAGTGCTACCCACTTTTCAAATAGAAGCACCAAGGCAACTAACTACAAGTGTTTCTAGATCCCAGGAGGTAGGAAACAGACCCTTGCTGAGGAAGTATTATACTCACTCATTGCTTTACTCCTTGGTCCACTGTACCAGTCTGCCTTGTTTTTGTTCTTGCGATTCTAGCATATCCATAACTCTTCATTGCAGGTGGCACAGGGATTTAGTCTTATAGCTGCAAATCTCCACCATGAGAAAAATGTACCCAACTTTCAGGGTTTCCGAACAATGCAAAGTCTTCATAGGAAGCAAAAGTGAAAGTAATCTTAATGGCAAGCAAAAGTATATATCAGATTATAAAGTGCCCTGAGAAGAAACCATGTGATTTGTTGGAAATAGCACCAGAGGAGGAAACTTTGATCACTATATCATAATGAAGGAAAGCCAGGGGATTTTCTCCTAGAGTGAACTGAATTTATTTCAGATTTAGGGTTAATTGCTTTATTAATAACTTCGCAATGTTTTGTTTTAATGGCCAAAGACGGGACTAATACAGTTGTTCCCAACCTATGAGTCCCCAGGTGTTTTGGCCTACAACTCCCAAAAATCCCAGCCATTTTACCAGCTGTTAGGATTTCTGGGAGTTGAAGGCCAAAACATCTGGGGACTACAGACTGAGAACCACAGGACGAACAACTTCTATCACTGTTGTTTCATAGACAGCAAAAAGGTGTTATGACATACCAGGACATGGTACTTCCAACATTATGAGGAAATGCTAGGTTGTTTGAAGGGAGTATGATAAAACTATATATATTTAAAATTAATATGATAAAAGTGATTATGGAGATTTTTTTCCTTCTCTCTCTTGATGCGATCTTGATGTCACCCAAGCTGATTAGGAAGAGATCTAGAAGGGGGGGGGGGAGAGAGAGAATCACGACTTTGCACATAATGGTTCTTGGAAGGCATTGAAAGCCGTGGAAAACTGTGGATGGCCTGTTAAGAGAGAAGTGTTTCAGGTAGAATGTGATGTTTTCTTTTCTTAGATAAAAAAAATTAACACAAGGGCCAGGAAATGAAGAAAATCTTCAAAACTATTGACTTCTTTTCTTTTTAATCTGGTGGATCAATAATTTTCTTTGGGGCCCTATGGGCTTTCTGGTTAATTTTGAGAGATGTTTGTATATTTTATGAAAGATGGACAGAGTGAACAAATAGAATATGAAATTAAAAGGAAGCTTTATAGATCTTTTCCAATTCAGTCTTCCTTTAGTCAATCATAATTTATCAATGAAATGACTTTTTTCTTAATTTTTGTCTGATTTTTCTTTTCATTGTTATTAATATCAACTGTTGTATGCAGTGTGCAAATAAAACGTATCACAAATCTAAGAAGATGTGGCAATCTTGTAGATGTAGAATATATATATGTGAACTTCCACAATGATTTTGAGAGATCTGTTGCTGAGGATGTCTCATAAAAGTAGCAGTCAGGGTGACAAAGGAACTGCCTTCTTAAGAATCAGTAAAGAATTAAAGAAGCAGAAGATAGTTTTTAAACTAAGTTTTGAAAATAGAATTTGAGTTTTCTGAGGACTTGTGGTAGAGCCTTTAAAAGAATTTAATCATACATTAATCTCTAGCACAGAGAGTGGAATGAGGTATCAAAGATGCAGATGGTATCAGGTTATTCAAAATGACAAAAGGCCCAAGGAGAGTGGAAAAAGTTCTGGTAGAATCTTACTAAAGTTGGCAAATAATAAACTATATAAAGTCATTGGTGTTGGTGGTCAAGCAAGTAAAAAACCTTGGTGTTATAGTGGATAATTACATGAAAATGCCAACTCTATGCATGCCAGACGTTGGAAAAATCCCCCACTATTTAAACACTAGAGATCATAAGCAAATGAGCGCAAAGTGAAATGCCTTGTGTCATAATATTTCTCTGAGAAGCAAGTGCTGAGAATGTATAACCTTCCATATGTTCCTGCACTACAATGCTTGTGATGGGGAAAGTGTTGCAAGAAGGAGCTTTGAGTGGGGCGGCAGATTTGCCCCGCTGCTCCCTCTTCCCTCGCCAGAAGCCAGCTGAAGAGGAACGCTTAGCCTGACCTTTCTGATAAGGTTGTTAAAAAGTGAAAAGTGAAATTAATCTTAATCTTAAAAAGCAAAAGTGAAATTAATCTTAATAGCAAGCCAAGGAATCTCTCAGACTATCCGGCGCCCAAAGAGAAACTATGTGACTTGTTGGAAATAGCTGTCAAGACCCAGACCAGTCAGCAACACAAACGGCACTGTAGGAGTTAAAGTAAGGTGTTTAATGTCTATTAACAAAACAAAAGGAGACTCTTCAATTCAGAGTAGTAAACAAAGGAGGCTTGCGGTCAGCAGGAATGTAAACAAACTGGTCTCAGTCAGCCTCGGCTGACGAAAGGAAAGTCAGTCTTAAACAAAAGCAGGCAGCTTGAATTCAGCAGGAAAACATAGTCCGAATCAAAGGCAAACAGAACAGCAAACGGCAATCCGCATGAAGAGCGGTCCAACGAAGTTTCCAGG